GTATAAGTCATTTTTCTTAAAAAATCAATTTTTTTATTACTATTTATTATTTTTTCGCAACATTTTTCTCAATACATCAATTTTTTATTACTATTTATTATTTTTTGGCAACATTTTTCTCAATACATCATTATGCTCAAAAAAATTATGCGGTATGACGTAAATTTTTTTCAATTATTTAAAATTTCATTTTTTTCCAAGTGGGGAGCAAAAACGACGCGTTCCTCCATGCATAGAGTGAATAAATATTTTTTTTTACATTATTATAGATGTAAAAAAAAAAAAAACTATATCATCGTAGTTGGATATATCTAATAATTTCAGACAATATTTAATTTTATAGTAATATTTTTAGTAATATTGAATTTTTTAAATTGAATTTATCTAAATATTACTTTAGATTAAATATTAACTCAAAGTTTTAAGTATATTTCTTTACATAGTAAAAAGTTTGCTTCAAGTTGTAAAAAAATTAAAAAAAAATAAAAATATATATAGGTATTAGCTTTTATTTAAAAAAGAAAAATAAAATAAGAGGACTCCGTACACGGAGAGAGAAATGAAATATATTTTTTTTTTACTTATATTTTTGTGTTCATTTTCAGGCTCATTACGGGATATCAAACGAAGTCAAACTATTACATTCTTAATATCGTTTTGAAGTGCTCGCGGCATAGTATTGTACGTTATTAACAGTGCGTGAAACGGTCAATCATAGCAAATGTTATAGGACGTCAAAGTATGTATTTTCAAGCTATATTTCGAAATTTTCGATAACAAGTTAACTTTAAAAATTCATCGACAATTGTACGATAGTCGAATCGATAAATGTTTTATATTATCTCAAAACTCATTTTGAGAACTATATCGTAGAGACATCGAATAATCTAAATAGATTTCAAAAATAGTTAAACGGATATTAAACGTATGTGTTCAAAAATACGCATAAGTTATTTTTCTTTAAAAAATCAATTATTTTATTACTATTTTGAAATTTTCTATAGCAAGCTAATTTTAAAAATTTATCGACGATTATACGATAGTCGAATTGATAAATGTTTTACATTATCTTGAAACTCATTTTGAGAATTATATCATAGAGATATCGAATGATCTAAATAAATATCGAAAAAACTTAAATGAAATTAAACATATGTGTTAACAAATGCGTTTTTTCTTTAAAAAAATCAATTATTTTTTCTTTTTAATTATTTTTTCTTCCAAATAAAACTTAATTTTTCAGTTTTAAAGAAAAAGTTATTTGTAGGTTAAAAAAATTGAAGAGAAGAATTAAAAAAACATTATATATAGTGTGGTCTCCGTGCACGGAGGATTATTCAAAAATTTTTTTTTTTTGTACTTTTCCGTTCTCCATTTTCATACGCTATGACCATGTCTTTTCAAATCAACTCATTTGCTTATATTATTATATTATATATATAGTGTAAGAGAGGCAATGTGAATCTATGTAATACGCAACTTTCCATACCTCCCACCTTACTCCGTATTGACCACTTTTATAAGTAAAAAATAAAATTCCTTTTAGCAAAAAAAAATTTAAAAATAAACATATTAACAACGAATATTTCTAATATATGTAAAAATTATTTATAGAAGTGAAAAAATTCGTTTAAAATTATTTAGAAGTAAAAAATAAAATAAAGTTATGAAAATTAAATGAAAAATATATAAATATTATTTAATTAAAATTGAAAATTTTACTTTATAAATAATTGGTTTTTTTATCAATTTATTTAAATTTCTTTTTAATTCTTTTCTCTTTCAAATAAAATTTATTAATTTTTTTTTTTAAATTCTTCTGCCTTACCAACCTTGGAGTGACCATTGTATTGTCCGAAGAATAGACCTGCTGTTAGGGTTCTAATTCTTACACCAATAAGGGGGTTGGTCATCCAATAAGTGCCACTTCAAGTTATTTTACGTACGAACTTGA